ACATAAACAATTTCAACAAATAAACCTAAAAGCTTTAACACTCCTTTTATCTTTGTTCCCACTTTCTCTTGTTCAGTGGCGGAAACTGACACATGCTAGATGATTGTGGGCAATTTTGCCGTTCATTTAACGAGTTCATGCACAACACATTACAAGGAGCCATTGCAGGGGGGCTGAAGAGCCGCACACGGATCCAGAGCCGCGGGTTGCCAACCCCTGGTTTAGTAGAATGACCTGGAAATCTAGGTCATATTCAAGATCTTCAGTCTAAAAGATCTTCTCTTACAGACATATGGGGAAGGGATCGACCGATTATCTGCGCCGATTTTCAGCATTTTGATGCATATCGGCGTCTGCCTTTTTTTAATCCGACGGCCGATAAGAGATCAATTTCAAACCGGGTTATTTTGGCTCTGATGAAGCCGCGCCTCTCTGTCTGTAGTCTCTACTCTGTCTCCACCATTGTCCCACCCACAGCACCATCTGGTTGGTTACACACAGAGCCAGGTAACGGCCAATCAGCAGTGAGAGCTGTGCATGCACACTGCTCACACAAGGCAGAGAGGAGAAACAGTTTTGATGAGAGGAGAAGCAACAGAGAGCAGATATATGTTTTGAAGGTAAGTTAAGGCAGCAAACTCTCCCGAAATTGTAATAAACATCCTGGGTCTCTGTGGGTGACGTGAACTGAAGGTAGTGGGAGTGTATGTTGCGAGAGAGAGAGTAAAAAAACCTAATGAACTCAATTCAGTCCAGTTTTATTGCAGGGAAGCACATTGAGGGGATGGCTAGAGAATAGTGTGAGTCTCTCCTATTGCTATTGTACTATTTTTTCGGCTATAGTAACATAAATCGTTAGTAATGTAGCAGCCTAGTTCAGGCTTCCCAAATGCTGTAATAAATTAAGCATGATGAGTTGAGCATATGTCAGCCTTGGAACTCCCTGCTTGTTTTTGGTTGAACTGTAAACTTTATTTACATTTGAAAACTTCAGGAAGCTATTTATTTGTTTAAGTTTTCATCTCGCTTTATTAGACATGCTGCTGAGCCTTGGAACTCCCTGCACTTTTTGTTAGACAATAGACATCTTTGTTTTAAAATTCTATGAAAAAAAACCTTTAACATGTTCTTTTATCTGAAAATCTAAAGGCATTTAAAGAAATGTAAGTGTTGGAGTTTGTGTTATTCAAAATTTTGACGCCAATATTTTCACTTTTACTGCAAATGAATATATCTCCAAATATCGGTTATCGGCCTCCCTGACTACTAATAATAGGTATCGGTCCTAAAAAAACCATATCGGTCTATCACTAATAAGGGGTACTAGTCTGGTCACATTTCCAGAGTGCAGCAATGATGGATGCACCTTCCAAGTTCCTCTTTGTCCTATAAAGGAAGAACTGGCAGAGTAGGTTCCTTCATGCTCTGCTTTCTCTAACTGGATAGGAGCTCAGAGACATATGAGATAAGGAGGCGAGCAGTGTGTTACTTTACACCAGTGATTATCAAGAAGATGAAGAAGCTTTTGAATCCTTCTGTGGAGGATTGCCCTAAAGAAGTCACTGCTGAGCTGGAGGAACCACTGGTGCTACAGATGCTTATCACAGCCCTGCAGGGCATGGAGTGGGGAAAGACCCCTGGTTTTGATAGGATTCCAGTTCAGTTTTATAAAGAATTCAGGAGGGAATTGGCTAAAAATCTTTTAACAGTTTTAAAGACATGTTTCTGCTGCTAAGCTGCAGGAGAGCTGTAATAAGTCTCTTACCAGTAAAAGGAGATCTACAAGAAATCAAAAACTGGTGTCCAGTGTGTCTTCCCTGTACGGACTATACAATCCTGGCCAAAGCCTTGATCAACAGACAGAGATATCATGGAACTAGTAGTAATTCAACAAGATCAGACATAATGTGTGCCTGGTAGGTCTATCCTAGAAAATGTGTCCTTAATTCTGGATATCTCTCTATGGGCATTGAAAATGGTCTAATTTCTCTAGACTAGGAAAAGGTATTTGACAGGGTTGAGCACCTTTACCTGTGGAAGACTTTGGAGAGTTTCGGCCTCAGCCCAGGTCTTATAGCTATGATCAAGGTATTATACCAGGACATTGAGAGCGTACTGAAGATTTATGGAGGTCTGAGCACCCCTGAGGTATGTTGTACTCACTGTCTATTGAACTCATGTTATGTAAAATTAGGGCTAATATTGAAGGTGTGATTTTAAGAGATTTTAACAAAAGTCACCACTTTTGCAGATGACATCATTGTTCTTTCAAAAACCAGGAAGAAATCAAAGAACTAGAGGTAAACATTAAAGATTTTGGAACCATATCAGCTGCTTAAATTGAGAAAAGAGTGAAGCACTGGAATCACATGGAAGAAGGATGGTTTCGAATATCTTGGTGTACTTTGGCAATGAGACCATAGTCCAGACGAACTTGGAGGGGGGAGGGAAGGTAGAAGGAAGGCTAAATAAGTGGAAATGGCTGAAGCCACAGATGTCCTTTGTCTGTTCCTTACTGCTCCTCTGTGTCTTTATCATTCGTGCTGTGCGCTGCGTCAACTGCGTCAAACCAAATGGAGCACATCGCCATCTCCTCCAGCTCATGCGTGTGTGCGCTGTTATTACGCGGAGCTGTGTTGCTCTGTCAAATCTCTGTTTTCAAATTCTGTTTTCTCTCTATTCTCCCGACAATGATTTACTGACAGAAAACCCTGTCAATGATCTGAATGTTTTTCATTTATCATCTATGGTGGTGGGGTCCATCTGATCGGCCAAATATATTGACATGCAGAGTGTGAAGGCGTGGAGCATGGATCATCATATATCACAGTTTTTGCTGTCTTTTGCGATACGACGATAGATTTTTCAATATATCTTGCAGCCCTAGTACAATGTGGCCTTAATGATCTCCAGAGGCTGTGGTTAAATGTGGCAGGAAGAGGGTGGGATCAGATAAGGTTATACAGAGGCAAGGAAAGGGGTTGCACCCATTCAACTCTTTAACAGGCATCTATTGCACTTCTATATGTCCCTGGAGAGGAATCCCTCACATGTGGCTCTTTCTGAGGTTTCGATGTATTTTCCCCTGTTTAAAGGTTTTTGGTAGTGATTCTTTACTCTTGTTGAAGGTTATGGACAGAGGCCTATGAGACTAATTGTAATTTGAGAATATCATACAGTGATTTCACACTACAAGTTCACACTGTTTACCTACATGTTGTTTCTCTTCAGGTGGTTAATAGCTGATCTATACTTGCATAGTATAAACTATTTATACCACTTATCAAGGCTAAGTAGTTAAAATCAAATGTCCAATTGATACATGCATATATTATAACTGAACTTCACTGAAGTGAAGACATATTTTCTTCAACCATCTGATGCTATACAATAGTCATGTTTTTTTTCTTTTTACTATGACTTCATAATAAAAATTTAAAGTAATGTCTGCATTGAGGATGGCATTATCATGCTTTTGTATGAATAAAATTATTTGGAATTTCGGAAGAAACCACCAGGAGCCCAGACATAACAAGCATAGTGATTCAGTTTTTTCTCACTGGTCATGGCCTTTTAAGTCCTGGAACCAACTAAACAGCCGATAAGCTAATTCTAAATAGAGTGGGATACAGAAAAGAGGCCATTGACCCACATTTTACACAGCAGTGAAAAAGTCTGAGGAAACTTCTTAAAAAGTAAAATCTATTCCTGAAAGACATCACATAGGCCTGTGTTGTAATTACTCTGAAATGAGCTCTAGATGTAATGACGTGGACAGGCTTTGCCCAGAGCAACAAACAAAGACCGTCACAATGATAGAGTGATGTTTTACTCTGACAAATGGCCAACTAAAGCTGCGCTGCTTCAATCATGTGACATGCACTACGTGACATACCTCACTCTCCACAATCATCTATAATATACACCCATCTTATTAGATGGTCTATTTAAGCAGAGACATTTTCCCATCACTCCCTTTGCTTGCCCCACTGTTGCGTCAATATTGCTGCCAGTTGCTTCAGCCCCTCCACCACCCCAGCATCCACCTGTAGGCTCTGACATGTGGTTACAAGTATTTGCTCATCACTCCCATCATATCTATCTATGTAATCATATCAGGGTAATGACTAAGTCGGAGCCTAGACGTTTTCTACTGTAGCCATAAAAGTTTGAACCTGAGTTGTCTGACGAAACTCAAACAAGTCAGTTTACAGATTCCATCTAATTTAACAGAGCTAGTGACCATTCACTATCTAAAACATGAATGAAACAGATCCACTGGCACCCCTATTTCTAATTATTACCTTAATTTTTAAGTACCATTTAAAGTCTGCACACAGATCAAGATGCCATGGTTTGGAGTTAGTTGGGCTAGGGAAAGAAAAAAGGATATTGAGTTGTCATGTTACTTACTTGGAAAGGGACACTCCTCCAGCTTTCCCAATGAGCTCCTCATGGTGGAGAACAGCATCATTCCAAGGAATGTCAAGGAATTTCAACAGTGTCCTCATCCATTTCTCGGGATGGAGGACCAACTGTTCGTAGTGCACTGGTAAACATTTATCTGATGCCTCCAGGCACTGAGTGTACATGGTCTCTATGGCCCGATTCCACTTTGTCAGGCAGTCCCGGTAGCTGCCCAGATCAAAGCCAGCAATGGTCACCTTCCGTGAGATCATGGAATGGACTGAAGCCCGCCCATCACGAATCATCAGTACAAACTTGGCATGGGGAAATATTTTAGCCAGGTAGGCAAGCGACTTCAGTGCAAAAGGGTCCTTGTTGCACAGGAAGTTTGCAGGCTCTCCATGTTTGACAATGATTTCCAGCAGGAAGGCCTGCATGGCGGCGTCCAGCACCTCATCTGTCACACCTGCCTCATCCAGGCGCATCTTCTCCCGGCCTGAGCGGCTCCACATCTGCTTCATGGCCAGGATACGTGGGATGACACGGGTTTCCTCGCCACAGCGTACCTCTGGGTGGGCGTCAAGCATTGCTCGCATCAGCGTGGTTCCACTTCGGGGCACACCGCCGATGAAGATGAGTGGCATGTCTTTGTTGTAAACAAAAGGTGTACTAAGATTCTGGCCTGTCCGCAAAGTGGTCCGCATGCTGCCACCCATTGCTGACAGAGGCAGAATTCCAACTGGCTGGCTGCGCTCCTCGATGCGATGGTGGCACTCCATGGCATGGCGGCCCAGGTAGAACACTGTGACTGAGCTGATGACCAGACAGGCCACCAGCAAGTTCTGTTTCAGCTTGCCAATCATGTTGCAGGCCAGAGACAGCAGAGGACAATATCTCTATAGGTGCAATTTAGGGGGAGGGATGGGAAAAGGAACTGAGGGGTAATTAAGATTCCCACCCCTTATGGTTGCTTGCTGGGAACCGGGCATGGATCAAGCTCCCTGGTGCACAGCAGGTGTCCAGTTCTCAGCTCCATGAGGCCTGGACTGTGGACAAAAAAAACACAAAACACATAGTTCTGATTATACACCTGAGCAACTAATTTAGCAAAGCTAACAGCAAAAGATAATTGAATGTTTTCATTAGCAACACCTCCAGAGCAAGTCACATGACTTCATTTAAAATTTTGCAGCAGTTATTATCAAAGCTCACAGAGCTAATCGGGAACCCATCAGAGCAACAGAACTTGTGATGTAGCACAGAATGATAGAAATATGTTAACATACTAGACCGTACCATGGTTGTTTGGTCTTTTTCTTTGTGAAAATTACACTTTGCAGTTTGTGTAATACTGTCAACACAATAATTATCTGAGATGTTAACAAAAATGCTTGCGTGGTGAAACCGTCATTGTGTCAAATTTTGAGTGATCAGATCACAAATGGACAGCATGTACCTGTGTAAACGCACACCAGAATGCATTCTCAAATTCAGACCACATTTGGTCTAACACACACTTGCTGTATGAATGCTGTGAAACCAGCTAGTTTCACAATTAAAGTATTACACTTCTCAGTGCCACAATATCAACACACCGCTATATAATAATTTATCTTGTTTTCCAAATTTTATTTCATAGCAGAGCTTTGCACATCCCTGTCTCTCTCACTGTCTCTCCAACACACACACACAGACACATTGATCAAATCAGATAGACCACAGAATTTAGACAAATTTACAGGAATGGTATCGAATTCAAGAACAAAAAAAGTCATAATTTAGGTCAGTGTGTTACTTATGAATTAACAGTCCTTTAACAGTCAAAAAAAAAAGTCCTCACTCTGTAAGAGCTATGCGTCTAAATGGTCCTCAAAGATATAAGCACGCACACAGTCTACACAACACAGAGGGCTGCCAGACCCTTTTTCTTCTGTTGTTGGGAAGTAAAGCTGCCGGATTAATACAGCTTATTTGTTGGAAGGGTTTCTCTGTGCTGACTCTGCAGCCACAGACCCGCTCCTGAACAAACTGCAGTGTTGGACGAATGACAGGAAACCACAGCAGGGCAGCTCAGCGCAGTGCTTCACTTGCAAACCATACACTCCAATACGAGTTTATTATTAGGTTAACATTGGTTATGGTGAACCTGAAATAATGAAACAGTGACGTGTGGCAAGTCATCTAAAACTTTATCAAAACTGCTTTCTATAATAGAGTGGTTACGGGTTTGTTAGTGTTTTACATGTGACCACATGCATAAAGATTTTAGATAGGAAAAGAACAGCTGTGAATGCAAAGCAGCAAGTATGTGGGAATGCATTGGCGTATCCAATCAAAGTTGGGATACACTGGTAACATTTCTCAATGGCAAAATCAATCAATCCAACCAATCAATCAATCAATCAATCATCTAATGCAAAACTATAGTGACCCAGTCGGGCAAGCACTCATTACGGTGAGGGGTAAGCTAGGTTATCTTAGCTAACTCAACTCCCAGCTATCTTATCTTTCAGTAACTATCATAATACAACATGACATGCCACACTTAATTACTGACTTAAATACCTGACCCATGTCACCTGACCAGTCACCTGAGTTTTATAAATAATAATGTAAATACATAAATGAAAACATAATTCAGCCAATGTTAAAATGTATTAACATTTATATCAGATATTGAATGGTTAAAAACTGATGATTTCAGCATCAGAAGACTATATAAATATTTTTTTAAATTAAAATACACATTTTTATAGACATGAATAAAAGATGCACTTTTTAATTAGATTTTTGTCATTCTTGTGGAATAAAAACCCAGTAAGTCATACTCATATTAGTATTGCTTTTGCAAAACTGGATATAAATGTAAAATATAATTTAATATAAGTATTTTTATGTAACTGTTTTCAACAGGATCACTAATTCATGTAGCTGATGATGTTGAATGATCCAGACGGGAGGTCACTATTCATCCTTGAAAAGCAAAGCTGAATCATGGTGCCTTTCAGGCACACCAACCTGTGTAAAAAAAATCAATTTATAATATATATATATATATAATATATATACAAAATAAATACAGCAAATCTGTTTAATGTCCCTTTTATTTTTTGCACCTTTCATTACAGTGTAAACTCATAGTGGGAAATATGAATATATTCATTAAAAAATAAACAATTTCAAAGCAAATGTTTGAAAATAGTAATATAAAAACAATTCAATTAAAAAGATACAACAGAAGTATTAATAATAACCCTAATTATATCCTTATGCACCTATATACAGGTGTGTGGTACTGTATGAAGCCTTCAGAGGGACAAATACAGCAGCTGGGGATGACAAGACAGGTTCCCTGGCCTAAGGAGCCATGTTGACAATAAATAAAATGTTGATATGCTGTGGTAACAGTGTTGCCTTCCACACGCTCTTTAATGTGCTCTAACACCGTAACATCCTCCTGGTACTGCCTTTGAATATGTAAAAAACTTCTGGGCAGCACTGGGAGAAGTATGGTGGTAGACTCACAGTTTTCAGGATCCTGACCACAGCATTTCCACTGGCTGTCTGAAAGGTGTGTCCCTACAGTTCATAGGAACACCATGACACTACAGCAGAAGGTGGGTCACCATGTCTGCAGCTGTCAGCTCCTGTGCTGCTCCACACTCATCTCTTCAGTAGGTGTCTGAAAACATAAGCAAAGGAGAAACTCAGATAAGGCTTGATTATTAGCTCCATATTATGTTGGTTATATGATAATGTCAGTTATCAGGGGTTGTAGGCTGTAATGTTTTTTATCCCACATATGTAAATAACAAAAAATATTCCTGTAACATACAGTATTCATATAATAATTGTTCAGTGGTGTCTCTGAGGTTTTACAGTCAGTGACTGACATGCACTGCACAGCTAATGTTACAGTAACATTACTCAGTAAGATGTGAACACAGAGCTGTGGTATAAAAACYCTTTGTGTTGTTCTTGTTGATATCAAGCAGACCATGTAGTAATATAATAAAAACACAAACCTGTAGCTTCATTCTGCTCCCAGTGGTTGAGTCTCTCCTCCTCCTCCTCACTGCTGCAGCTCCAGGATCTCCCCCTCTTCTCTTGCTAACCTCAGTACAGCTCTCAGCTGCGTAAACGTAGAAGACATGTGTCTCCTGCTGTCTCCCTGTTATCAGGCTATATGAGTCTGTGTGCTAACATTAGCCCACATTAGCATTGTTAGCCTACATCAGGAAGGGAGGAGCGAGTGAGGAGCACTGAGTTTGTTACATGTTACCAGCTTGTTACACACTGAACCTTTAAGGGCTGGGTATTGCCACAGATTTTCCAAATCAATTTACTTCTGATTCAAAAGGGCACGATTCCAATTTGATTTTGATTTAATATTGATTCAGTTAAAAATATTTCATTGTACAATATCAATGGACTCTCTGGCTCTGTCAATAAATATGAAACATTTGGCACAGGATATATGTTACCAGCTCAGTAAACTGGATGGGACAGTTGTGATTTAGATGAGCTTTTAGGTTTGTATTGTCTTAGGTTATTATTCCAGCGTTTCCTCTAGGATTTCACGTGTGTGTCTGCTCGTCACATTTTCATTTGAGAGTGTAAATTCTGCAGATGAGATTAGGAACCGGTGTAGCCGATAAAGATTTTTTTGTCAAACTTCACAGATTTTTGGTCACATGTGCGACTCTGGTGCCCTGACATCACTTCAAAACTTGATTACAATTGCACCTTGTGTGACTGGTCCAAAGTGATCTGCTGGGTAAGAATGCCAGTAAAGATTCATTAAATGTTCCACTAATGAATGAAAGAATGATCACTCTGTGAGCGATCTGTCCAGTCAGTTTGGTAGCTGTGCCACCTCTTCTGAAAGACCAGCATTTCAAGGATTGTTTTTAGTAGTGGGAGCAGTGGGTAAAAAGTAAATAAATAAATCAATAGTGATGCTCTCCACATTATTGCACTAAGGAAATTCTGTTTACAGCCTTTACTGTATCACTAAGGCATACTGAAGTAAAACTCTTTCTTCCCATTTTCTCTAATACCATGGTCATGTAGATTTTTAATCAAAAAATGTAAGACAATTATATATTTTTGTGAGGCTTAGCTGTGCATGACTTTTGAATCAAATATTAATATTCTGCAATAAATTATCATTCCATGGTTTTATTCAGTGTCCAATTGTGTGTATAGAAAGTCCTCCATATACAAAGCCATATGGCCAAACAGAGCCATCTGGAGCACACCCTGAATTCATTTCCTTTTCCCCCTGTTTGATTATACATGATGCCAGCCATCCTGCAGCAGCAGGGACAGCAGAACTGCTTGTGTGTTACAGAAGAAAACCAGGCGAAAGTCACTGATAAGTTGAAACTAAAATAACCCTTAGAGGATTCTGTCCGTTCTGTCAATACACTGTGCAACCAAAACTTCCATGATTTTGTTGAAATGCAGGCATTTACTGCAGTAATGATGTGGGTGGGTCAGGCAGATATTAAGAGGAAATCTGAGAAAAATGTGCTATGTTTTAACATAATCAACATTTGGTATTCATCCTTGAACCTTGCGAATCAGTGAAGTGTATTTTAACTTTTAATACAACTACAGCCTTTGTGAGTTTTCTGTTGTGATCACTGGATTTCCTTGTATAAAAGTAGTATACTATATACTATAGAATAGTACTATACAGTATGAAGCTGTGCATATTCTGCTCCTGCACACATTTCACAATAAAAACTTTTTAAAACAAATGAATGGGTTCAGTCAACAGAAGCGATGGAGTGCTTTTATTTAGAAAAGGGTAGGCAACAGATAGTGTTGCAAGTACTGTATTTATGTCTTGTATATATTCCACAGATAAGCATTGAAACTGTGGTGTGGAAAAGACTGTTCTAAAGTTCATTCAACTGCGAACAGTGGGTAGTTGGGGGG